CGAGAGCGAGTCACAGAGGCCAACAAGCCTCCATGACATGCTGCAGTATAGGGGGTTAGCGGATGGGGCGAGAGTGGAACAGGTCATGGACACAGAAGATAGCTTGCTGTGCTATAGATACATTTGATTCTTGACACAAGGAATAACGATTCCGATTTGATTCACCTGAGCCGCTGTGATTGGCGGATGGTAATGCGCCTGATATTTTAATCGTTTGCAGTGGTGGCATTCGATTGGCCAGATAGTAAGACTTTTGTATCCTTCGGGGATTACGAACCGTGTTATCGGCCTTAGTCCGCGGGGCCTTCTCGGTCACAACCCCCGAAAGTGCTTCAGGATCCTTGCTTGGCACCTAGCTCTGTGGTTATGGGTCATGCGGATTACCTGCATCCCCAAACATGGGGTGGCTCATGCTTGTAGTTATCGTTTGTGACTACCAGACCGATTCCGAGCTCTAAGTCCCAGTAACAGTAGCCCATTCTAGTCCTTAACGCGGCCCGCCATCCTAGCGTATTCTTAATACGGTGGAACATGGCGTACCACTAGAAACCCTTGTGGCACAGACCATGTAGTTGAACGCCGCGAAGATGCATATACGGACGCATCAACGCCGGCAAACTCCCCGCGGCGGTAAAAAAACAACAGATAGAGAACATGGGACATCCGAGATCTCAATGACGATGGTGGCAACCTGCCCCGCCCTGAGATAACATCGAAAACCGGCGGTGAAGACGCGCTGGCGCATGGGGACTGTAGTCACCCCCAGCTGCGTCTCGTGCTCAGTCTGACTACTATACTTGACATCTTTTGAAAGCACTAACAAGATGGCTTCGTATGAGCCCATCAGACAGAAAACCGAAGAAGAGCCTGAGAGTCATGAGGTTCTACTTTCTCAAACTTCGACAGAGATTGGTGAACCTGACGTCCATGATAGCAATTTAACTTGGAAGCAACGGCGACCGAAGTTAAGACGCTGGACACTCACTGAGACTGGCCTCGTGCTGCTTATAGTTGTGTCGAATATATTCTGGCCCTTATCATCACGAATATGGAAGTCTCGTACTCTAAAAGACCCGGACTATTGTGAGTGTGAAGTTGCCTGCCACAACATTCACCAGGCTAATTATACTACTATTTTAGTCAGTGAACAGGATAAAATCCTGATTTCGTTTGATCATGACTGGGTTGACATCAGAGACGGAGGGAGTAATGGTTCTCGCTACGCAGATGACAAGTGGAAAGGCGTGTTTCCGAGTATGTTTTCCAACATTGTGTTCATCCGTATTATGGGAGTTATTATGACAGCATGTCATCGGCCACTAACATGAATACGACTTCAGCTTTGGGTTCAAGCGTGGCGGTAAACGAAGAGTTCGTCAAGAAGCATACTCTTCCCCCTAGTGTTAGAACGCCAGAACGGCCGGATGAGTTCATTTATCAGGTTGCAGGATATCACCAGCTGCACTGCCTGGTAAGTCGAGAAAACATATTTGAGACTCCCGTGTCTGGCAGTATTGACATAGCCCTGCAGTATGAAATTCGCAAACAGCTTTACGACGGAGGGGCTCTCTCGACTCTCGAGGACAAGGTCCGGCGAGACCACATGCTTCATTGCGTGGAGGCTGTCAGACAGGCGCTTTACTGCTTCTTAGATCCTACCCTCATTAATCTTGAACCCAAGTGGCCGCATGTGCCGAATGGGCAAAAGCATGTATGTCGGAATCGTGAAGCCTTGCGGGCTTGGACGGAAGAGCATGGTCACGTACTCCCAGAGGACTAAAAGGTAAATATATGTATGATTGTTATACTTGTTCTTAGAATCCTCTTTAGAATAAATGCAGAGATTTTCCACGTGTATCTATGTGTAGCTATGTGGCCAAAAGGATTCTCTACGAAGAATACAATCATCGAATTGGTCATACTTAACCGCAGCTACGAAGCTAGAACAGATGTGGGATAAACTGTTTGCAGAACCACAACAAAGCTAATTAGATCGCAAGTGCAGTATTCTTCACCCTTGCAGGAGCAAAGAGCTGACTAGTTAAATTATCGCTTTACATATTGATAAACTGCTAATGTGACTGCTCCTAGATTCCTCGTCGAGTAGGACAACAGACCAGAGAGTGTAAGTAGAGAAAAGAGTGGGTGTGTAAATAATTGTCATCGCTTTTTCAAAATTTAGGGTCTTCTCCCAACGAGTGCTGTGAGATTAGTAAACTGATGTTGCAGACGAACCGATCTGCAAAGGCCAAATTTATTGTATCTTGCATCATGTAAGTAAGATGGCCTAAGAGCTTTAATACGACCCTATCTTGGCACAGGTATAGGACAATCTGGAAATATACTTGGCAAGTCTCAGTGAGATCTTGCTCGGAACACCATCAGTAGATTGCGGGGAATACCCTAACAGCGATCGTCGGTCAGAAGAACCCTTAGATAAGCAGCTGCAAGATCATAGGTATCCCTCGAAATTGCGGTGAGGGACTATTTGTGAACCTAAGCTTATTTTGCGATCATGATTCTTGTGTTACCCTTTCCCTATACATGCTGGTTCTCCCTCGCTTCACTTGATTCGACAAGGATATGACTAAGGTCTCGATCTTTGGCTTATTAGTCTATACAAGCATGAACATGGCGTTTTCGGCCTGTAGTTGCCGGGAGGAGTACTTGTCGGCCAAGCTACGCAATACAGTAACACAGAGTAGACATGGTCCCGCCAGGGCGCATTGCATTAGTATAGTATGTATGCAAGCAGAGCTGGGATCAGCATCCCTTGGTTCTGCCACTCGTAGAAGCTTGTTCATACCACCTACACGCAGTCGCCGTATTCATCAACTGAATACGGGAACGGCGTCATGCGTCGGGATTAAGAAAAAAGTGGAGTATATGCGGAAGTTGATCGGCACGGTCTCTAACCCCCTGCCATGCCGCCCCGATCTGAGCGAGTCCATACCAAGTAACTATGATGTTTGTAGGAATTGCTCCGAATTTCTCTCGTCCCAGTACCTTCTTCCTTGCTCACGATACAATTCCCCTCAGCTTACTTCCTGTTCCATAACAGCGTTGATCTCTAGGAACTGGTAGAGTCTCTAGTTCTGGTTTGGCGAAACAACCCTTTTGTGCTCTACTCCTGCTTACCCTACAATACATATTGCTCTATATCCATTGATGTGACCAGCTATGGCTGAGATCCAAGGCTCTGTCAGAAAAGCTCTTTCTTCTATGAAGAAACAAAGTTCCGTGTACGAAAAACTTCCTGACCAAGAAGCGTATGGCGATGAGGAGTCCACATCAAGTACTCAAAGGCCCTGGACCAAGAGAGATTCACCAGGATTTCGAACCAAGATCTTAGGAATAAGCCTGATTCTTGCTATAATCTTTGTTGTCACCTTAGCTATGACCGGCTTGATGCTTGTATTCAAGTCTTTGCCGAACGATTCAGAGCCAGATGTAATTACATGTGGCCATACGCCCACCGAAGCTAGAAACGCCGGCTGCCGCTTCGAACCGATGATGAGCGCCTGGATACCAAAAAAATGTACGTTTCAAGATCTCATTGACGACAACGCCGGTACCTTTGAGAACTGGCCTTTCTTCTCGGACCAGGACATCAAGCAACCCATCACGGGAGCGGAACTTGTCGGAGTGCAAGTCGGGAATTTCACCAAGGTGTTCACTTCGCACGGTACAGCTCACGACCTGCATTGCCTCTACGCCTGGCGAAAGTTAAACCTCGCTGCTGAGATTGGCGCGAAGTTCATTGACTCGAAGAGTCGGTCTCTACACCATACGACTCACTGTGCAAGGCACATCGCGCAGCTGGTGGAGGAGGGTGCTGGCTATCTCCCCAAGGAGGACATTATTCGAAGCGTTACTGCGCTTCCTCTGCTGTATCTCGATTGTGTTCCGCTTGTATGATTGAGCAGATAACGAGAATAAAGGAAATTCTAACGTAATAATTCACTCCCGTTTCGAATGGCTATTCATACCATTCGCTCTTTAAACATGCATGAGGAGTCACCACTGAAACATTACGGCCTTGTAAACCCCGGAGACTGTGTTTCGTACTTTTCAACGTAACTCAACTCATTATTTACTTGAAAGTTCTATGTGCATGACATCGTGGGTCGGCTACAAGAGTTTTATGGTCTTTTGTCACAGCAGGCCGTAAGATAATCCCGATAGTCCAAATTCGACAACCAGTACGAAGGTAGAAGCTAATTAATCATACAGTTATATACCTATTCCATCCTCACCTTCTACCGATAAAAAGGGTTAAATTGGGACTGCAGATTTTATGTTTAATGGTAGGACAAACTTTTTTAAAAAAAATACTAGGTGAAGTGCAAGCCATAGAGACTAATTATTTATTACCTAATTAGAGCTAGAACATGCCTCCGTGCACTTTGAGTCTCGGCGTCCGACTTTATGGAGATGGTAGCGCACGGTCGGAGCAATTATATTGTTAGTCAAAGGAGGTAAAGTCAGGTTACCAGAAGGAGGTATGGCCGGCTGAGATTCAGTTCTGGGTAGTTTCCAGCTCGACTCCAGCAGTAGAACACACAGGAAACAATTTATCCAGCAAATATCTGGCCAGTCAGTAGTCTAGGTTAGCAGTTTGTTACAGTCGCTGTTATATCCATTATTTATTTATGACAATGTGCAATTGAACACAACCTTACTTCCAAGGAAGCCGCTCTATGAGTTAAGAGGCTAGGTAGGTGGCTAAGAAGTGAATTTCTCGTTCTGTAGGTAATTAAATTGAATGCTAATGCGCATGCAAGATGGTTGACTGTTTTTCCGTGTTTCTATCTATCCCTTGTAGTGAGCTGGATAACAGGCAATTTGGCATGGGAGGAAATATGTGAAGCATCAGTGGTTTAGTGGTAAAATCCATCGTTGCCATCGATGGGCCCCGCGTTCGATTCGCGGCTGATGCATTCTTTCATCAGACGTACCAATTGGCTGGTCCAACTGGTCCCAACTGGATATGTCCTGTTTCTCGATTGGTCTAGTGGTTAGGATACCTGCTTGTCAAATGATGTTGGCGTTTATTCGTTTGCTGTCGTTGCCACAATGCGCAGGTGGCCGGGGTTCGATTCCCCGATCGAGAGTTTGCCATTATTTTTGCCATCTAGGTAAGTGGTTATGTTAAACTACTTCACCAGAAATGACATCCAGCATAGTAGGTAGGTGACGAGCTAAAAATAATTGCGACGCACTTCAGACTCGAATAACGTATACCTCGAGGCTTGCGACATTTCGGTCTTACCATTTACATTGGAAATAGCCCCTCATCGACTCTAAACGGCGATTTGACTATGACGAGGTGAACAATCATTGCGTTTCTAACTAAATAGCTCACTATTATAAACGAAATGGATCTTCAGCACAATTGTGCATTACATTATAGATCGATATGCGTTAAGCCCTACGGTGGATATTATGGTTTTGTTTTGTGATGAAATGGAAACAGCTAGCTACCTTCTGCTCCATGCGGTGCATTTATGGGAATAACGTGTTCGGACCACATCACGCCAAGCTAAGGTCGGGCTAAAAGCTGGCTGTTGTGATTCACCACAGTTCCAGTCACAGTACACCTAAGGTATGCATTTAAATAGCACTCCCCGATTAGCAGATACATTTAACTACTGAGTCATAATCATAGAATAAATGCTATTGTCGAGGCTTCAAAATATCGTCTGGTTAACCCATTCCGCCGGTGGATGTTGTTATCCTCGGCCAGCTTCGGCTTCTCTCATAGTTGCGTCAGGAGCTTCACACGCTGACCAGGAATACCACTTTTCCGAGCTGCTAAAGATTGACGTTGCCTCATGCTTAAAATTTTAATTAGTCAATCGGTTATTCATATGTTTGAAGCTATTCATCAGTCCATTTTGCTCGCGGATATCTAATTCTTTTCGGTATCGTGTACGCTGCCTACAATCCTCACCATGAATCCACTTAGAGCTGTGAGGCCTATTGTCTCCCGCCTTCAGCCGTCAACGCTCCCTAGAGTCGCACGGCCATTCTCTTCCACAGCAAGTAGATCCTATGATTTCATACTAACATCGAGGCCGAAGCCCGGTGTCGGCCAAGGTGAGACCAACCGAACCACCGGCACCCTTCGTAATTGAAACTAGCTGGCTTACGCAAATGACCTAGTGACCTTACACCGGCCCAAGACCCTCAACGCGCTCTGCACACCTCTCATCTTAGAGCTCAACCAAGCACTTCGCGACTTCAGCTCTGACGATGACGTCTCCGTGATCGTCCTGACAGGGTCCGAGAAGGCCTTCGCAGCCGGCGCGGACATCAAGGAGATGGCGCCGCTCACGTTTTCTAAAGCGTACACGAAGAGCTTCATCGAGCCGTGGTCGGACCTCACCATGCAGGTCAAGAAGCCCATCCTGGCGGCCGTGTCGGGCCATGCGCTGGGCGGCGGCTGCGAGCTCGCCATGATGTGCGACGTGCTGTACTGCACGGAAACCGCCAACCTAGGCCAGCCCGAGATCAAGCTTGGTACGATCCCCGGTGCCGGCGGCAGCCAGCGGCTGACGCGGGCCATCGGCAAGTCCAAGGCCATGGAGCTTATTCTCACGGGCAAGTCGTTCTCGGGTGCTGATGCTGAGAAGTGGGGTCTTGCCGCTAAGGCGTTCCCAAGCTACGAGGCGCTCATGGAGGGCGTGATGAAGACGGCTGAGACGATTGCTGGTTATTCGAAAGTCGCTATCATTGGCGCCAAGGAGGTCGTGAACAAGAGCCAGGACCTGCCCCTGCGAGATGGCGTCGAGTACGAGAGGAGGGTGTTCCATGGTATTTTTGGGAGTCAGGACCAGAAGATTGGCATGAAGGCTTTTGCAGAGAAGAAAAAGCCCGAATGGACGCACGAGTAGATATGTCTCAGTAACATAATACCTACTCGCTTTATCGGACTGAACTTAAAAAAAAATTAAAAAATAAAATAAAAAATAAAAAAACTCCCTCCAAGAGGCTGTTGGGTAATAGCGCAACAAATCGTCAAAAGGATTGAAATATGAATTTAAGTATACTGTCTTTACTTCAGCATTCTCAAAGATATCCAAACCAGCTGACCCTTTAAGTCTAAATGGACAATGCCCACCCTGAGATATCTGTGGGAGACAGGCTTGCCGTCAACACCCCGGGAAGGGCATATAATGAGCCCCGGTGTGTATCGTTTGAATATTATGAGTAGTTCTTCGTCGTCACCTATTTCGAATCATATTTGTTACCATTATCATCGCTTCCCTCATTGTTCCTCTTATCGTAATGGTTTACAGTACAGCCTCCAAGTAGTAGAAGCGCTAGTTCTTAAATCAAGTTTTCAGTGTTTCCGTCCCGGCCTATACACAGTCGGCTAAGTGTTTGCCACGGGGTAATTTCATCTGCAGTATTGGGGTATGAAAGTTTTGCAACCTCCAGGGTTGGAGAGGCAATAGCATCGGAGCGACATGAGACATTAATTCCAACAAGACCATTGCGCTGGGTTCTATATGTTCATTTTGGCGTATGACTTATATATCCTGTTTGGATGTGGATATTAAAACCTTTGGGTTGACAACGGCAGGCTCTCCATATATGTAAGATCTAACAACTCGGTTGATTCGAATTAATGATTGCGCGATTTGTAAGTAACTCATCGCCACCTGGATTTGATAAGAGTAATCCTATTCTATCTCGACCGCCAGTATTAAGTCGTTTTCTACGATGTTCCTAATATTTAGGCAACTATATATAGACTTGGATAATAGGACTATTGTCTCTCTCTAATCATCACCGCAAAAGATAGTGTTAATGGCTGTTAGCAGTGGCTGTGTGGCCTGGGTCACTCTGCTAGCTCGCCGCTGGAGTTAAGGCCACGAGCCCTCAATATTAGAGTTCAACAAATAAATTTCCATGGCGGTAGTAGTAATCACAGGCATAACGGGCGAGCAGTGCTAATAGGTTGGATAAGAGTTTGTAAGCTAATATTGTAGCTAATGATGTTTGACCAGGTAGGATTAACCGAGAAGAGTTATTACTACCGCATATATTTAAACTACCATCAAAAACCATGGTAAGTGCAACAGTAATAGGTGGCTATATCTAATGATGGAGCTATCCAACTAACAATGTAGGTTTCAGGGTGTAATGATCAACAAAAAGGCAGCGAAGTGGAGAGTGGAGACCCCCCTATTGAGTAACGGGATAACTAGACAGTCAAAGAGCGTTTCATAATGAGATATGATAGCTTAGATTTGAGCTGTCATAATTGGGGTATTACATAGATTAAAATATCAGTACTAATTAGAGGGAAGGGGGGTCTACGATACCAGGGAGGGAGAAATGGGAATAACAAAGTAACATGATGCCTCATACAATGCCTCCACCACTATCTTAACTAAATATTTCTGAGCATTACTATATGCATACACTCCGGCCCAATCCAGACTATATTAGACAACTACGCACAGCCTTGGTAAAAACTATAGACATGTTCTATTTTATGACCATAGGTATATACTAAATGAGTTAAAATAAGTACAAGGCAAATATAGCGTTATATTATTTAAAGTAGAATAGATGGTCAAGGGGAAAGGGTAATTAGAAGGGAAATCGAGGCGTCTGATTGCGTATATATAGTATGTAGATTCGAAGCCTTATTAGAAGTGGGAGTTTAGTTTTGTGGCTAGTGCTTAGATGCGTATGGTGTGGCTATAGCTATGGCTGTAAAAGCACTGAGCAGGTACCTTAGCTACTTCGTATAGAGGTGTGGAAACCCCACCAACCTTCCTCGCCCACCAGCCCCGGAACTTGTAAAGGTCGTGGGCTAGGCTAAGGTTCGTTTATACTGTAGAAGTTATCCTAAGCTCATGAGGCCATTTAGCGGTCTCCTGAAGTGGCCATGGCTACTGCAAGACCTGAAGTTGACCTTGAGAAGGAGTTGACTTGCTCGGTAAGTTTGTGCATCTCCGATATGGCGATATGACGGGGGTCGCTTCGACGGGCAGGGCAGGGCATCCTTGCTGACCGAATGCGTATGCAACTATCTAGATATGCACCGAGCTCCTATACCAACCCTTAACACTCCTCGACTGCTTGCATACCTTCTGCGGTTCCTGCTTGAAGGACTGGTTCGACTGGCAGAAGATCTCGGCCGAAACGTCGCCGAGCCCTCCTCTGCCGGGCGCTACCGTCTTCACTTGTCCGTCATGCCGTGCCATCGTCCGGGATACGCGGCGCAATGCCACCGTCACAAGTCTGCTCGACATCTTCATCGCCTCAAATCCCGACAAGGCCAAGTCCGAAGAAGAACAAGAGGAGATGCGCCAGAAGTACAAGCCAGGCGATAACGTTCTCCCCCAAGTTCGCCTACCTGAGCGGTCAGCCGAGGAGCGCCGGGCAGAACAGCTCGAACGGCAGATGATTGAGCAAGCGCGGCAGATGAGCTTGCGAGACGTCGGTGTTGAGTCCTCATCTAATCGGCGCCGTGAGCACAGTCGGTCTGAAGGTAGCAGGTCTAGGTCGGAGCGGGACGGCAGTCGGGACTCGCGACACAGACCGCGGCGCGATGACGAACGCAGACATCGGACTGATTCGAACGGAATGCTGCACCCTGAATCGCTATCCTCCGACGAGCGACGACGGCGTCATAGTGAGTCACGGCACCGGGCGGACTCACAAAGGTCTGCGACTAATTCCTCGGCTGTGAGGATAAGACATGTGGAGCATCAGGCTTCGATAAGGTCATTGATCAGTTCCTCTGATGTAGACTCGCGAGACCTGGAGCGTGAGATTGATGAATTCGCCCGCCAAATACAAGAAGAAGGTTTACTGGACGGCTTGGACCTTGACAACATCGATCTGAACCAGAACGACGAGCTGAGTCGTAAGATAACCGAGGCGTACCGGCGACGACAAAGAGAGCGGTTGCGGAACGAACCTGTGAGGAGCACTACGAATACCCCTCCGAACCGATCCCAGGCTGTGCAGCCTCCACCAAGGCCCCGGGTCACAGATTCGCTGCGTCCTGGTAGCAGGCAAAGGTCAAGTTCAGCGCACGCTAGAGGGTCGAGCGTGGGGAGTCAGGCAGATGATCGCCGTCGCCCACCGA